TTGTGCTATTTGTTTTTACATTTCTGTAATGCAATGAAAGGGTGTCTTTAAACAAAAGAGGGAGAGTGATCGAGGAACTTCTTTTGAGGAAAAATTGCCTAAGGAAATCAGCATTTTCCCACTGTATCTCTGTGTCTTTGTCTCTCCTTCTCCCCCCACTGCATTGTTTTTTCTTTGTTCTTTGCTCTTCCCTGAAGAAAATAGTGATAATAAAATATTCTATTTTCATATGGCTCTACAGGTGATCTTTGTGTACTTTACCAGACCACGGCATAGAAAACAAAGCCTTGCTTATTGCCTAACAGCATATATATGTTTTATGATTTATGTGGTTATAATAAATGGGGCTGATAATAGATAGGAAGATCAAAGTCTTCTGTGAATTGACAGCAGCACTGTAAACAAGGTGAAAGGGTTGCAGGTGTTTCCCACATGGATGTTGTACAAAAACATATGGCCCTTTGCCATAAGGTATTGTATGTACTCTCCACCTTCTCCTGTGCAGCAAGGCAACGTTACTGTGAGCTTTGCTCAGAGAGCAAGGCCATGGCTCAGGAGCTTGGAGATGCTGTTGGCAGCAGATGACCATGCAGTGTGGCCGGGATGATCTTGGGAGCATGATGCTAAATTGGTCTTTCAAATTATAAGTAGCTGATTAATCCTCTGTGTCATCTGAGAGCAAAAATCTGCATTCTGGGGGGAATCCCTGTCAAACATTGGGAAGGAAAATGATGGGCTGAAGTGTTTTAGGAGAGACCGGGCAGTCCAATGTACTCCTTGTCTCATCACTCCTACTTCAGCTCAGAGTTGGGCTTGGCAGGCATCTCTTGCCTCCATAGGTTATCTTCTGTGGCCCTGGCCGTGGCAGGCACTAGGTGGGATTGAGACATCTGGGCCACATCTCTGCAGAAAGCCACAGTGGTACATGAGCAAACCTGCAGATATCATTGCTGGATTGCTGTTTATTCTTGTGGATAAAAGAAAAGATGTGTTTAGCGAATGACTAAATCATTGTAAAGAGAACTGCAACATCCTGGGTGAACCCTGAGCACAAGGTACTCATCTCTGTCTCATTGATTGCCTTAAGAGGGACGCTTGTCTGCTCTTAGGAGTGAAACTGCTGCAGCTGGGTGTGGAGGGTGTTTGTAGCCTCTTGTTATTGAAACACTTCTGATGAAGTTTGGCTTATTTTGTTCAATACCCTGTGATATAACCACCTCCTTGACCTGGAAGCCCTTTGGCAGTCTTTACTTTTTTCACAGCTTCTGGGATTAGACCCATGCCCTCTGCTGAATGCTTGTGAAAGCCCTTTTGCCTGGTCTTTTTGGGCATGATGCAGCACAAGGCTGCTGGCTTGTGCACTGGCAGCCTGCTGAGACAATGGCTCCTCATCCACATTTTCATCTGCTGGAGGAAGCTCACACTGTACTTGTGCTGTTTATGTACTGGTGTCAGGTCTTTCCTGCCTCACCTTCCAATGGAGCTAAAGCTACTGGTCTAAAATGCAGATTTCTTTTGCTGTTTTGGAGGGCTGCAGTTTAAACTGAAATATAATAGAAATTGCCTCAACAGCATAACTTAATTAACCAATGCCTTGTCTACACAGGAAAATTTGTCTCCATGTGTGGGTTACAAAATTTATTTTTGCTGGTGTGGTAGTGTTACAACTGATTTCCATGTGGACAGAGATGCATCACCCCAAGGGTGTCATACTACAAGCATGAATTCTTGCTTCTCTGCAGGAGCAGGCCAGGTATTTCCAAGTATTTGCTTTACACCCTAAAAGCCCTAGATGAAAATATTATAAAGTGCTGGGTCAAGCAGTGTAATGGTACTGTAGCTAAAGGTAGGACTTCTATGTGTGAATGAGCCCTGTGGAAAGATTAACCTAGGAAAAGTTATTAAAAAGTACTGTACTAAATTATTCATGAATCCATTTGCAATGTACTTGCCCAGAGGCTTTTGTTTTTATCAAATACTTATTTATTAAAATCTGACAAGAATATCAGGTTTTGTTCAATAATAAATATAAATCTACAGGAGACTAGTGATATCCTCATCCAGTAATACAGAATCAAAATTAAGTTACATGGCAGGGGTGGATATGTTATTTACTTGGAAAGAATAGATTATTGTTCAGGAGGATTTTATCTTTTACTTGCTATTTTGAAACAAGTGAAAAAAACCCAAAACACCTAGTTGGGAGATAGCCTCTTGTTTTGTGATTGAGGCCTTGATCCTGCAAAGGATTTAAAATATATTAAAACTCAGTTAAGCATCTTTCTGGCAGCTTTTCAGGTTCCAAACCTGTGTTTGCTGAATGCAATAGCTCATGTGATCTTGTTTCACACTTAGTTCTATTTGTCCTTTTTTCTTAACTTCAGGGAAAGACCATGGAAGTAATGCTTTTGACTTATGAGTTTTGACTTCCAGAGTATGCCCATATACAGCCTCATCTTTTTGTGTCCTAAAAAAGGCTAGAAAGATTGTATGCAGAAAGCAGGAGAATGGAAAAAAGGCAGGAAGAGAGCTTTTGCTGGTTGAGATCCAATAATGTGTGTACTTTTTAGCAATCATTCCTTAAAAAAGGGCAGAACTTAGCTTAAAGATCAACTTAAGTAATTTGTTGTTTGTTTTTTTCCCCTAGAATTTTCAATTTATTAGGTGTAGGGGATTTCTCCCCCACCCCTTCTTTTCCTTCTCTGCCTTAATTTATAACTGCATAAAGAAAGGAGAAGCAGGTGCCTATAGCTAAAAAGTTAGCGAAGAGTAAATAAAAAAGAGTGAGCTTAGCTGTGGAAACAGAACTGGGTGACTGGTCTGAGTTGGAGGATGATGAATAGATTTTGTTTGCATAAGCTTGGCTTGTGAGTCACTTTCTCATAAAAGCAGCTTGAGTAGGAGATGCTCCTGTCCCAAATTTTTAGTCCTGAATGCTTTCAAGCACAAAGCAGACTGTGACATAAGACTCCTGCTGTGAGTAGCATCCTGTTATCCCAGTGGACAGGAGCTGGAGCTTTACAATTCCCCAGGTTTGAAATGAATTAAAAGTGTGCCTCTCTTACACACATATTTTCCTGATGTATCATACATTGCCCCTTGCTGGTCAGCATTAAGCTGTCTGGGTAGACATAATCAGCTTCTGATTCAGATTTGGAATGTGATGTCAGGAAGTTGGTCCCTGTGAAAAGCTGTTTGTTGCAGGACCATCAGTCACTAACCAGTAAATGTGACAGGGAACTTGCTTAACTTGGAGAGAGAAAAAGAAAAGCCAGGTGTGAGCATGAGAGGTCAGTATTGGTGGCTGGTCATTCTGGGTGGGTTCAAAGCAGCACATGTCTTTGTCTTGAGAGTTTGAGTTGCCTCTCTGATGCTAGAAAAACTGTACAAAGTACACACAAAAGTTGCATGTAGGACATTATCCTCTTCTGCTAAAGTCTGTGATCAAAACTCTCTTTTAGTCTGAGGCATCAACTCTTTTTTATGCACCTATGAAGATTCTAAATAAAAGTTTGACCATTACAGACAGCTACTTTTGCTGTGATTGAACAAACTGGGAGAGGTGAAAAAGGTTTTCCGCCATAGACCACACCACCCATGTCTAATATTCCAGTAGAGTCTGTGGGTTGCACTTGGGAAATAAAAGTTCCCTCTGGAAACCCACAAAAGAAGAAAAGATTATGTTTTCCTTCCTGAAGGAAGGATTGTGTTCTTTGCCATTTTTTTGTTACAAGTTTTGGTGGTAGGGTGGTCAAATTGGACTGTGAAACCTTGCTTTGGAATCAAGATATTTGTCTAATTTGTTTGCCCTTGAAGAAATCAGGCTGCTGCAGCTTCATTGCCATGGGAACCCCTAGTTACTATATTTAATTCAGTCCAGGGTTTGCTTGTCTATTCAGTTGTTGCAGTGTAGACAGGTGATAAGCAATATTTCAATACTGAGCTGTATCATACCAAAATGATTAGGCATGGATATTACTGTGGTATTGCAACTTCTGTGGTATTGCTCCTGCATTCTGCTGTGAGCTGCCTGGCCCTCCTGTGCCTGCCTCCATCCTCTTCTTCCTCTCTTCTGCTGGAGAAAAGACAGCACTGCCTGAATAGATTTTTCTGGTCCAGTGATCAACAGAGGTAGGTAGGGACTGCAAGTGACCTCTACTTGTTGGTCATGCTTCTTCCTCCCCCAGCAGAGCAGCCAACCATCGAGTGCCTGTGTGCCTTGGAAGGAATGCTGCTGGAAAGGGAGCTCTGCACCCCTAGAAGTTGTAGGGTTGGGACAGGTCCCAGTGACTCTGCAGCATCCACAATGGTGTGAAGGCCCAGAAGGGCAGAACCTGGCTCCACAAGGTCATACTGAAATGGGAGCAGGGAGGATAAAGGGTGTACAGGCAGAGACACCCCTATCACCTATTCTTCTGAAATTTTACTAATTCCCTTAGACTTTTTTCCCCCTCCCTATTAATGTAATGTAAGGTTTGTCCTTGGCAATGCATAGTCTGAGATGCACTCAGTTCCAATGCTAATAGAAGTGGTGGAAATGTGCTTTACTACAGTCACACTGGGGGGACTCATTAGGGGTAGGGCTTAGCCATGAAAAGACATTTCATGTGGCTGATGTTAAGAAATGCAATTTTGTAGGACTTTCATGATTATTTCAGTTGGCTTCTAATGTTTTGCTCCTCTACAGTTTGGTTTAGTGATACTACAGCACTTTGCACAGAATTCAGAATGAGCATAGAGTATGTAAACCTTTCTGTTAAAATGTTGGCTGAGTAATGATTAATCAGTAAAAGATTTTAAGCTGTTTCCTTTAAATTCCAGGTCCATGCATCCTTATTTAACAGTTGTGAGGGCTGGAAAGATACTGCTTTACCCAAGGAAATACATTTTCTGTGATATTTGTTCATTGCATGTATATTCAGGCAAAAAGAGATATTTTAGGGAATGAGATAGTTCTCTGTGGTCACCATCTGCTAAAATGATTCTTTTTTTCTTTCTAGGTATTACATTGGTCGCCAGATGTTTGTGGTGGTTTCCTCACCAGAGATGATCAAGCAAATCTTAGTGGCAGATTTTAGTAACTTCACCAACAGAGCTGTAAGTACATATAAAAGTTGGCTTTGTGGATGGAGTTGGTAGCACTGCTAATTTCAGCTCAGACCAAAAGTGGCTACAAGGAAGTTGGAAATAGAGGCAAAATTACAACATGGTTCAATAAGACCTTAAGCTATATACACTCAATATACACATTCAGTCAAAGATTCTTGTTACCAGAACACTCTGAGGATGAAAAGGAGTGTCCTTAGAAGAGACACATTGTCCTTGTGACTGAAGCACCAGGTGGTTATTGAAGAGAGGGTTTCCATATCCAGTCTTACCACTGACTTCCTTTGAAATCTTTAGAAAATCACTTACTAGCTCTCTTCCTCAGTTCTCAGTCTGTAACATGGAGATGTTATTATTTGCTTTCTCCCACACATGATCTGTTTGGTCCTTTTAGACTTCACAGGGCAGGAGCAGTCTGCTTGGGACCAGGACATGCCTCCCACAGCTATTGTATATTAGTCATACCTGAAAATAGTAAATAGCAAAGAAGGAAGTTTGAGTTAGCAAGAATTTGTACATATGCTCTTGATTACACTCACCTTGGGAAGCTCATTTTCAGGAGGTGGTTAGAAGGAATAATGAGGGTGAATGACTAGCATTGCTCACCATTTTACAAGGAAATACTGCCACTGTGTGCTGCTTCGGTCCCATCCATTCCCAGCTTCCCTCTGGACCCTTTGTATACTCAAACCTGCTCAAACAAACTCCCATGTGTTCAGGAGGGCTTTTTGTGCCCTTGGGAAACATTTTTTTCTCTGATCAGCTGTCTCCTCTGTCCCTCTGATCCTCTCTGCAACCAGTCAGTCTGTTTGCAAACTGCTCATCACCTTTGCTTGCTTCTTTTGGTACATGAGTTTCACCTTGTGACTGCCTATATCTTACTTAATAACTTCTGGTATCAGCTGCCCCCCATTCTGCCCATAGCTCACACTTGAAAGGAAGAATATATTTTTGGACTTCTTAGGCTGAAGTTGTTATATGTGACATGTGGCTTTTCCCCATTTTCTCTATACTTGAAGAAATTTTCCATCCCTTCCCTTCTTCCACCCCAAGCAGGAACCCTATTTCTTCCTGTCTGTAACTTTCCCATGCTTTTTTTCTTTATGTTTGGTAATAATAGACTTTGCCCACTACACCTAGCAGTAGCTGGTGATCAAGTAATGCTCTTCTGAAATTAGAAAGCTTTCCTTTGAGGAGACACTCAGAGATTTGTTCTGCTCTTAACTTTAGTCAGCCTGGTCATTTGGATCTATCCTTCTCTATATTGTCACACTTCCTAGTTGGTGAAATTTTTCTTCCTCTCCAGGCCTTTTTTTGTTCAGAGGTTTCTCTCTTTTTCTTGTGGTTGTGCATCCATCTGTCACAGTCTGTCTGTAACATCTGTGCTCCTCTCTAAAATTCAGGTAGGTTGTGTCACTGTAGGCCCTCTCTCCTTCTCTCTCCTTTTCTTGCTCTTCATTAGGGATCTGTTAGGTAGAGCTGTCTCTGCAGGTTCACATAGTGCCCTTATCACTTGACTGTCCCCTGAATCATTTGTGGCTTTTCTGTATAACACCCTGCCTTATTGATGAGGAACTGAGATATAGATGGAGTGACATCCCTGTCATTAACCAGAAAGCCTGTCAGATGAGAAAATTTAACTCCTACCCCTCCCTTTAGCAAAATTAGCAGTTTCCCCCCCATGCAGCGTTGCTATTTCTGTCTTGCTTAATGCCCATGAGTGTAAATCAAATTAACTTCCTTAATCTTACATGCTCTCATCTGCTTGTTCTATGGTCTTCTCACATAGCCACAATCTTTGATAATTTCTCACTTTCCACTTTGTTCTCTCCTCTTCCAGCCATTGCTTTTCACTTATTGAAGGTAAGCAGCCTTCTATTTCTGCGTCTTTCCACATCTAACCTGAGGATCTTTCCTCCTCTGGAGTTTTCCCACAGGAAGCTGTCTCCTCTGTAATTTGCAGTCAGCTCTCTTGGGGAAGTATTTGGTTATTCTGTACACTAGTAATCCTACATGAATATAAATAATGCTGGATGGTACGTAAGGAAGGCCAGTGGAATTTATTCAGATGTGATTTGCGTTGTATGCAAATAATGATTGAAAGGTGAGAGTGAGAAAAGCACTTTCTAAGTAATAGAATTCTTTCTTATCACATTGACTGAATAAATGTCATTTTAAGACTTTTAATAGGGTTGCTTCTGTTTGTATATTTTAAAATTAGTCAAAGCAAGCTCCTCTACTTTGAGTGAAGGCTTCTATTTGCTAGTGGAGAATTCAAAATGCTAAAAAGATCCCCCAGCTTTATTTTATGAATTCTTTCCCCAGTGAAGAGTGGTTATAAAACTGACTTTGGAGTCAGTGCTGTTCACAAAGCTAGGCCAATATATTCCAGTCCAGACATGGCACATGCCTATTATTTCAACCCAAAGCCTTTTTTTTAAGTTTACTTTTTAAAGTATCAGTCTTTTAGGCTGAGAGGATGGGAAAGCAGGTGAGACCATAAGGTTTGAACAGGTCTTAGGAAAACACACTTGTGCTTTTCTTTTCCGGCCTCCCCAGGTGTATTTCCAAAATCAAGATTTGTACTTCATCCACCAGAGTGAAATGTGATTTATCTAACCTAGAATGCCTCGAAGAGAGATTATTCTCTCTGTAGCAGTTGTAGAAATTGTATGTTAACAAATTGTCAGCGAGTTTCAGGATATTCAGGACTAATTCTAAAAGCGAAGTATAGAAAAACTTATATTACATGTTTAAATTTCTGCTTTTTTAATTAATTGTAAAATATATACATATTTGATTAAGAAACAATGGGAAATCAAACATGTGAAGGGCTGAAAACAGTGTATTTATTAGTAGAAGCCAGTAAGATGATGAATCAGTGAATTCTGACAGCTTTTTTTAAAGCTGTCTGTAATGTGATGTCATGCCTTTGAGTGCTCATAAGCAGGATGACCTTCATCTGGGATTGTGCACTTGTGGACTCCCTTCTGGGAAGTCATAAGAAGGCCTTTATGGAATGAGAATGGTTTTAATCTGCTGAGAGGATTCTTTTGGAAGCATGTTGTGTCATGTTTCTGCATCCTGATAGACCCATACCATTTGTGCTCTTCTCACACATTGAACCTGCCTGCTCACTCACTATATAGACAAAGTAGATCTTGCATGTGAACACAAGCTAAATTACTCTTCATTTTATGTTTCCCTTTGATACTGTATGTTTCACATTTTTACTATGGCTTTCTTTTGAAAATTGCTACAAAAAGTCTTTTATATTCCCCCACAATCTTCTCTTGTTTCTGAATTGCTGGTTAATAATTCTTGCAAAAGAAGTGTTTGATGACTGCAGATCAAATCTGCATTAAGGTTCACTTCCTTTTAGAGCAAGCAACCAAGTCTAGCACACAGGCTGTTACTGCCTTGTAGGCAAAGGGTATATATATTGTTAACTGTATAATCACAGGAAGGCAATAATGACACTCTGCTTTCCCATTTAATTTAGTCTCAATTAACATAAGCGTTAGAGCCATTCAAAACCAAAAATGTCTGTTGTAATATACCTTCATACTTGAGGCATATGAAGCCTTTTCCTCATGTTTTTAATTATGGTTGAAGAAGAAAATATGAAAATTACTTTATATACCTTCTGTCAAAAAATATGGAATTAATTTTAATTTAGGTTAACCATGGAAACCTCAGCCAGCATTTAGGCAGGGCTGTGCTGGAGTAAATGATACCTTTTTCTTACTACTGTGTTGTCTCTTGAATAGAAGCTTCCTTTTAACAGCACTAAGACCATTTTTAACTTCATTACTGTGTTGCAAGTGTGATAGGATTATGATGTTTGTTGCATTCTTCCAGGTGGGATAATGATACATAATCTGTTTTCAGATTGTTTTTAATTCTGCATTGAAAATTTGTTTTTCAATTAAGACTTGAGAATCATTAAAGTGCACTTTTAAAAATGTAGGGACAGGATGTTAAGATGGAACAATGTGGAGAGAAACATTACCTGGTACATAATTAAAATAATTCAGATGGCTGTAAAAATATTTCCTAGAAATGTGCATTCAGTGAGCCCCAAGGCAAAGGTAGGTACTGGCTAAGCTTGCCAGGAGTTGGTGCTCTGCCAGGATTCATGTGGCTATCACAAGTGGAAACTAGTGGTTAATTCAGACCAAATCTTTAAATCTACCTGCCAACCAGCTGGAGGAGAGTGACACTTTTAAATTCAAAAATCTACACCAATTCCAGTTGCTTTAAGAAAATATCATCATTTTCTCATCAGAAGTTTGCTGCTACAGTGGTACAAATAAGAAGGGATTAACAGCAAACAACGAGGTGATAAAAATAAGAATAAAAAAGTACCAGGAATAGAATGTGATACAAAATCCTTGTATCCCTTTTGAAGGAAAATTGAGTTGCTTGAGCTTCTTTTCTTTTTGCTTGTCTCTTTTTTTCCTCTTCATTTTTGAGTTGATCCACATAAGATATGATTATTCTTTTCACATTAATAATTTGTCTGTTACATTAAGCTGTTTCATCATCATCATCCATATTTTGGTAAACCTATAAAGTTTAGGCTTATCTAGAGCATTAAATAAAATGCAACCACCAAGTAGGAAGGAACCTATATTCTGCATTTTGTTCAGTTGTGGTCCAGGATTCCTGACATATCCCTGAACTGGCTGTTCTTTCTGGTCTCTTGCTAGAGGAAAGAAAACTGTATATTACTGTATCAAAAGATCTATCTAAATTTGATACAAGATGCCCTCCAGAGGTCCCTCAGCCATCCTGTACTTCTGTGAATTTTGGGTCAGGACCTCAGTCAGCAGAAATCAACATATTTTAACTGACTGATAATGATGAAGTGTCTCCAGAGCAGGACTGGGATGTTACAACTGGCCTCAAATAGCTCTGCTCAGGAACTGGAGGTGCACATCTGTGTTCTTCACCTTCTGCAAGTAAAGGATCATTTGCATGTCCTGTGC